GAGCTTTTATTATGCCACAGTCGACCGCTTCCGCTGCTTCTGGTCATGCGTATGTGGGGTAAAGCAGCAGAGCTTTTATTATGCCACAGTCGACCGCTTCCGCTGCTTCTGGTCGTGCGTATGTGGAGAAAAAAACAGTGCTGTTTTATCATACTAGATACATTTGAAAGTTCTGTTATAATGCTACTCTGTGCGGTCGTCACCGGTCTATTAAAAAGCACAACATATTAAAGCGTCTTTGGTGTTTCCATGTTTTCTAAAACACAAAACCGGAAATCGAGGGGTTATGAGATTATTGACAGGTGACACAATGACACTATGGACACGCTCCGTGTCACTAGTTAAAATTGCTTATGTCTCTGGATTTAAACATTCTTCGAAACATTTGGGATAATGTAAGTAGTAAGTACACAAGTCAGCAAAATATATAACACTGTTCTTGTGGTTTTTGGATACTTTAATAAAAAAATCGTACATATTTTGCCTTTAACTGCAAAATAATCACAAGAAGTTTGAAATTACTTAAAGTTATTGCCATGTTAGTCTGATAAAGACACATGCATTAATGAGAAAATAAAGCATGGAACTAGCTTGACGTTAAAAAGGGTTATTAAGTGTAATAAGACGTCAAAAAGAGCTCAATGTGGTGCTCATGCCCAGACTGTGCTTCTTTGTTCTTATTTTTAATACCAACAACAAAAATAAAATATCCAACCTATGCTCAAATATGTGGAAATACGTCCTTGTGGTGATGTTTCTGTACCTTACTGCACGTTTCACGGCAATTTCAAAGTGAATTGTCCAGTGAGTGGTGCTAAAATGCACATTCACTACATGACCGTGACATGTTTTTATTATGTTGGTAGGTATGTATTGCTGCGTTGCATCAGGCATGTAATGCGGTGGTTCAGAAATCAAATGTCCGTGGAGTGTTGGAAAATAACATCCACCTTACACCAAACCCAATCCTAAACTTACCCGATAGTGTTAATGAATGCAGAAGCGATATAAAAATGCATTCGCTGATGCAACCGTGCTATTTTATCTTCCTTCTACGCAGGTTTGAGCTGTTTTGTGTAACCATTTCATGGGATTCTTACCAGAGTGCTTCACCTCACAAGTGCAACGCCGTATCACATGTGCTACAGAGCAAATTACTGAGTAAGAAAACACATACACATATGAAGCTGGATATGTGAAGCTAATGGTCAAGAGTATCAGTTTTCAAATCTTGCAGCATGTTAAAATTGTTTTGAAATCATAACATAATATTGTGCAAGGAATTGTTTGAAAATTAGGCTTTCTAAATCAAATCTGTGGCCCTGTAAATCACACTTTGTATGAAAAGTAATAAAAGTTTTCTGAGTTTTACTGCCTCTAGTGTTCATTTCAACTTGAAACTACAGCGATTCGTATAGGTATGTTCCCTATAGAACAGCCTCTCCAGTTGTGATTAACATGCTTATGAGGAAACACGAACTGCACAAACAAATTCATCAGAATTTTTCTCTAAGATCATCTCCTCGCTGGAATCTGAAGAAAGAAGCCAAAGCAAGAAGCCGTAGAAGAGCCCCTGGCAGCGGAAGATCACGGAGCAAGTCTTCCCCTGTGGCCATCCAGATTAAAAAGAGCAAATTACACTGAAACGTTGTTGCAAATGTCGCACTGCAAGAGTGGCTCATGCAGGCAACCCCTGCATGGCACAGATGGGCACGGTGAGTGCGTCACTTGCCTGGGCAGCACCCACGCTGAGGCTGTGCTCACCTGGATTGAATGCTCTCACTGCGAGAGCATGAGTCTCACCCTGCATCGCTCTCGGATTGCCTTCTTTCACAAAGGCAGTCCTCCCCAGCCTGCTCTACCTGCTTTCCAGGAGCCTTGGAGGAAGAAACAGCGGAGCAGCGGGGGTTCAATATGGCTTGAGTGAATTCACACAGGCGCAAGGCACGCATGCTTCACTCTCCTCGCAATGCCTTGATTCGCCACACGTGAGGATCAGCGCCCCTTTTCGGCAGCGAGGGGCTTGATTTCTGCCTGAGGAGGAAGTTGTCGCTGATGACTCTATGTCATTGACAGCTTCTGACACAGAGAAGAGGGTGTTTTCCGGCAAAGATCCTGACACCCCCCCCTTCATCTCAACCAACACGGCCCAGTAGTACTGGGATTTCTATTGGCCCAGTGTAGACAGCGAACTGATCCGCATTCTCACCAAGGCTGCCCCTTTCTTCCCGGAAGTTCACAGCAAACTCACCACGACATGGCACGCCCCCTATTCGGCATGTGTTAACTCCTCCACTTCTGTTGCTCTCACCACTGTTGATGGCTCTGAAGAAAGAGGATATGGCAAGCTCCCCGCTCTCGAAGAGGCAGTCACTGCGAATTTGTGCCTTCCATCAGCCCTGGGGGTAAAAGCCCATGCAGCGCATACATATGAGGCCCAGCAGCACTATAGCAAACAGAGCTTATTCAGCGGCTAACCAGGCTGGCTCTGTGCTTCACACGATGGCAGTGCTACAAGAGTTTCAGGCCAAGATTCTCTGCAATATGGATAAGTCCGGCCCAAGACCTGATGCCTTTAAAGAGCTGCGCACAGCGACTGACCTGGCTCTGCATGCTACAAAGGCCATTGCGCAGGCTTATAAGCCCATGTTATAAGCGGAGCACTCCTTCCAAGCTCAAAATATTTGTGGCAGCCATGGCGGTGA